TGTGTGTGTGTGTGTGTGTGTGTGTGTGTGTGTGTGACTCTAAGGAATGCAGTGGTAGTGAGAAGAGCAGCACTGAGCTGGCCAGAATCGGGCCGATGAAGGAGATCAAAGTGCCGACAGACCACATCACCCTTCCCAGCCAACTTCTTACTGATCCTCCCTGATATTAGAAACAAACCGAACCTTTTTGTGCATGTGTGTACATGAGACAGAATGAGGAAATTTATCACTTACACCAAAAGAAAAAAGTGGTTGATTTATGTTTTTGTCTGTCTCTTTTTTTGCGTTTGAGCATCTAAAATGCATTTTTAAAACCTTTTTATAAAAAGTAATCATTGGATTAACWTCTGAAGTTGATCAACATTTGGAGTCAAACAAATTCAAGATGGCTGCCACAGCCAACAAGACATAAAAAAAGTTATGATTCAATCAATTATCTAGATTTTGTGGTAAAATTTGGCATGGTAGTAGTTGCGACTAATCCCTCCATTCTTTTCATTTTAAACTTTTATTGTTCACTTTAATACTCTTAATGGTTTGCCCCACCTTATTTAGCTAATCTAGCAGCTTTCCATGATTATGAGAGGACCTTAAGGTTAAATAATATGTCCTCACAGTTTGTCCAGAAGTCCAACTATAAACATCGAGGGGCCCTTTCGGTCATGCACCAAGACTGTGGAACCAACTTCCTCAGGAGATGTGCTCCCACACTGCACCTTTTTTAATCAAATGTTTTTTTATTCAGACAGGCTTCTAATACCTAGAGGTGTTTGTATTATTTTAGTGTTCTTTTTAACTTTTGTACTGCGAAGCACTTTTTGCACATTTTGTGCATTTCTCTGTTAATAAGTCACAATTTATCGGTAAGTAATCACTGGATTAGTATCTATGATTGATTGGCTTGTAGGGTCAACCCATTTGATTTTGGTGTCCAACTACAAAATGATTTTAGAAAACAAAAATGTCTTGAATTCAGTCAGATATTAGTGTAGCTGTAGCTAATGGTCTTTCACAGAATAAGCTCTAATTGTGACATTTTGAATTCTCATGCATGATATTATTTTTGAGGTGTGACCAAAATGGCTGTAACTCTGTCATTAATTAATATAAGATCAAATAATAATGAAACTTGTCATAAATTGCAGTGGGTTATTTGTATTCCATCACAAATGATAGGCCTCCAGTTGCTTGTTTTTAGTACTTATCCTTTATATTTGCTATTTAAATAAAGAAGCAGTCTGCACATTAGGTCATTCAGAGTGTTAACTTGTGCAGCAACATTTTGTTTCAGCATCTATGCATCTTGTTGTGTGTGTGTGTGTGTGTGTGTGTGTGTGTGTGTGTGTGTGTGNGTGTGTGTGTGTGTGTGTGTGTGTGTGTGTGTGTGTGTGTGTGTGTGTGTGTTTGTGTGTGTTCACACTGTACTCTCTTCCTCTTCAGAAGAGCTGAATTATTTATTGAAATTTTTAGAATCAGCATTTTCCTGCTCTTGTTGTTTGAGCTGACGTCGGCTCAGAGGTGCATCTAAAATACGGCAAACCGGTTCAGTTAATGAAGCCTTCTTTGTAGATGAACTGCTCTGACTTTACCTGCAGGCTCAGAGGAATCCTTCAGATCATCAGCAGATTTCCTGCAGCAGATAATAAATCAGGAAATTTAACATCTTTGGGAACTGCTTAGACGCTATCTTTAATTTGTCTAGTCCAAGTTTGGTCTTTGGAAAAATAACATTTTCAGCATCAAAAAATAATTGTTAATACTTAGTGGGGACATTCAAGACATTGAAAGTCTAATCAACTTAAAGTGTGTTGGCTAGCTTTTTCTTTGTTTTTATTCTGAGGAATTTTGTCTTGAATAATCTATCAAACATTTATTAAAGTTATTAAGAGGTTAAGGGAAGAGGAAGATATTCCCCTAAATGGGTATAAAATTACTTAATTGCCATGATTTGACTATGAAAAAGCTACAACTGATGTGAATCAATTGAAATGTTAGAGTTTTTATTAGGGCTGTGTATTGGCAATAATTTGGCGATACAATACATATCATGAGGGGTCACGATACGATATATCCCGATATATTGCGATACTGTAAGAAAGGTGATATATTGCGATATATTGCGATTTTTTTGGTCCAAAAATTCTATTAAATAAAAACCTCTTACTGGAAAAAAAAAAGAAAAACCAAAATTCATTGTCTCAGAAAATTCTATTACATAGACATGCGCTAGCCTTCTGTAACATGAAGGCCGACTAAAGTTGGAAAAAAGAGCGCACAAGACACTTAATTTGGTTTAAAATACAGACATTCTGATAAATAAAGAACTGTTCGTAACCTTACCTCAGCTTAGAAGGCAGAGGGTGTCGGTCTTTTCCGCTCAGATTCAGCTATTGGAGCATGAAGCTAATGTTTACTCACAATACTAATGCTACMCTTACTCTCTGGCGCTCAAGAGGTGGAGGAGCCAAATGGCTGGCTCACTGCTCCCAACTAATGGTCAGAGGCTGAACTACAACATAAAATTGAACGGCTGGCAGGAAAGTTGATGTTTTAAACCTTAATTAAATATCGATACAGGGCTTTAGAATATCGATACAGTATCGGGAAATGAAATATTGTGATATTTCAGTGTATCGATATTTTCTTACACCCTTAGTTTTTATCCATGTATTGTATTGCTTACTTTGCTGTACCAGATTTTGTACCAGTTTAATTATAACTTACCAACATGAAAGTGGGTGAGCAAGTAATCACCTTGGTATGTTTGGGTTTGTTTGCAGCTTATTTCATGAAACATTGGACAGATTTTAATGAAACTGGAAGTAATGATTAAACAAGCATCTAAAACTGAGWAACATTTGGAGCCAACTTAATTAAAGGTGGTTGCCAAGGCCAACTGACTTTGGAAATCATTAAATAGCTTTACCTCAGTGGATCTTACAGATACTGAGCTTAAATTTGGTGTGGTAGTAACAAAGTCAGTCCAACACATATATATTCCACAATATAGTTACCAAAATATTTGACTTAACTGCTGTAGTCAGCAGTGTCCTTCTGTTTACAAAATATTACATGAACCACAGGATGGATTATAATGAAGCTTTCAGAAAGTAACCAACAATACAATATATATATTTTAGTTTTAATATTGTTTAATTACATGAATTAAAGCTACAGAAAAAAAAATATCAAAATGAAAGATGCTACATAGCGTGGCCATGCTCTTTTTTTTAGATTCAGGTCACTTACTTAAAATTGTATCCACTAAATGTATTAGATTAGATTAGATTGTGATCTTAATAAATAAATATAGATAACTAACGTGATGAAAAACTAAAATGTAACTTGTGTAAACTGTAAAATTATATTATTGTTGAATCTTTTTGATTGGTTGTGTTATTTATCTTTATGGTTGTATCGCATTTCCTTTGTGTCTTTGTTTAACTGATTTGAATTCAAAGTATTAAACTCACTTTTTGAAATCTTCGGTGCTAAAAATCATAGCTTTTATTTGCTGAGTTTTTCAGAAATCTGTTCTGTACCACTCAATGCTACACTTTAATCTCATTTAATGTTCTTGGCACTTTAAGTACATAAATGAGCCACTTGCTGCTCTACTGTCGGAGCTCGGAATGAGTTGTGGAGAAAATGTCATGCTGTGTAAATCTCTGGGCTGCCATTTAGTTTAAATGAAACCAATGCAGAAAAGCAGAATCTACACCGACTTCAGCCCTGACAAAGAATCAGGTAGCTAGACAGCAGTTCTACAATAATATATGCCCATTTGTGCTGCTTCCCCCTAACTATTGTAATATCCATGCAGGACTATGTGGGTCAGTGGGGCTTTAAAGTCCCTGGAGAGCTGAACCACACCCTAACACACACATATACATACACTTAATTCACTTGGCGCTCCCACTTGCTCGCCTGTCTGCCTCACTGGTTAACTCTCTGCATGACGTCATACATTTTTTATAAAGTCTGTGCTGCTCGGTCAATATTTCATATCTGCTATTGACAGCTGAGTGGAAGACCACTGTAAGAAAAAAAAGTTGCCCCCCACCCCCCAACATCCCTCTCTGGACGATAATTAAATTAGCTCTGTCTGCAAATGACAAAGAGCCAGTCATTCGGGGTCTGCTTAGATAGCGAGTAGCTGCACTTAAAGCGGATATGAAGTTAGGGAGGAATTTGCTTAGCTGGGCTCACTGCTGCCTGCTGGGTAAGAAGGTGGGAAAGATGAGGATGCACAAGTCCAATTCTGACATTGGCTTGAAAAAGGATGAGTCCAGATAGAATAAATCCATCTGCATTTAGATTATTGGTCAAACTTTGACCTTTAGCGCAGCCAGTGGCCATGCAAGAGCAATAACTGTGATATATCAGAGAAGTTTATTCCTCCCACTCTAAGGAACATCACTTTTGTGCTCCTTTTAATCTCTAAAAATAATGAAATGCTGGTGAATTTGACATCAARTTTTAATTTCACTTTTTTTCTTCAGCTAGCTTGGTTTTTATTAATGTACTTAGCATGAGCCCAGTTCTGAAACCCAGGTTAGACATGAATATTTCTGGATATATTGGATGTATTTCATGTTGAGGAGACTCTTGTAAACAGTAGGTAGGAGTTTGTCTCTGGTGTTTTAACAGCTCGGGTGGGTTTGTGGTTGATAAATGACTTGTCTTCACTTGTCGTCACAGTGCTCCCCACCTGCTCGCCGCTGGACTTCCACTGTGAGAACGGCAAATGCATCCGTCGCTCCTGGGTCTGTGACGGAGACAACGACTGCGAAGACGACTCCGACGAGCAAGATTGCCGTGAGTGCATCTCCTCCTCCACGACAACACAAACAAACCATTGCTTCTGTATTGATGTTGTGTGTCAGAGACTCACACACACAAACAAACACCCAACCTCCTCTGTCAGATTCAAAGTGAGAGTTAGTGAAGTGGACAGATGTTTGAGGCAGCCATGTGCAGTGAGACGTTTGTTTTGAGTCTGACAGAGTTGCCAACATCCTACCCACACACACACACACACACACACACACACACACACACACACACACACACACACACACACACACACACACA